GGGGGGAGCGGTGAGGCTCTCCCATGCTGCAGGCTAGGTCCTTACTCTGAGTTCCCCAACCTGGGGCATTTTAGCTGGGACCTGAGGCGGGTACCAGGGATGGCCCTCAACCTCATTCTTACCTCACTCTAGCCTTCCCACACTATAAGTTTGGGAAGATAAAAAATGACCTTTCTCAGACTGCCTTGCAGCCAGAGCTCTGACAGTGAACTTAGTTCTGCTTATTAGATTCCATCAGGCTGAGATTTGGATGCAGAAATGAAGTGAAGGTCACTTTTCATGGCTTTCTGTGGCTATGTGGGCAGGAGCTGGGGGACACGCCTGCCTCAGTGGGGTTCCTGCTCCGGCCTTGCTGAGTGGAGTGGAACAGTCAACATGGCTTTGTGACTCTGAGGTCTGGATTTGGATCCCTGGCCCACAGCTAAGGGACAGGGTATGGGCCTCCTGATTCTGCACCTTCCTGCTGCGTCTCCTGATGGGTCAGCTCTGTGGGTATTCAGAGAGACATTCTTGGAGGCCCAGGCAAGACCCAGTTGCCCTAGGCCTTCCTATGGAATTTTTGTTTGTTTGTTTGGTTAACAAAAATAAATCCCCGTATTGCATCATTTTCTGTTGGCAATAGCTACACCATTTCCGTTGACTGACACAGGACTTTACAAGGGCAGCCACAGAGCAAGGAGAAGTACTGAACTGGCACATTGGACTTAGAGCTACAAAGTTCTCAACCCCAGAGAGCCACAAAGTGGGTAGAGTGGCTTCCAGTTGGTCAGCACTTCCTCCTCGCTAAGGAGCGAGGGTGACCCTGTATTCTCATGATGGAGGGGACTGTCCCTCCTGCTCTGGGCCACTCAGTTCCTGCCTTCTGGACTGAAGTCCGGAAGCAGAAATGCCTGGGTATAAAGTTTAAGGAGGCCCTCACTCTCGGGCTGTGCAAGAGCAAGGTCAGCCACCAAGAGTGAGTGACTCCTTAAATTTTGTACCCTGAGTGCCTCACTAGCCTGGTCTTGGCTCTGCTTAGAAGTCAGGTCTGGGTGGGTCTTGTTGGCCTCCGTGCTCAGTGCAGAGACTTCTCAGCCTCTGCTGAAGCTTGTCTTGACCCATAGTGTGTAAGAACTTTCTCTGGAGGGGTTTTGAGGCTGCCCTGCCCCTGTGCCCACGTGAGGGTTGAAGTTTGAGAAGCTCTCTGTGTTCCTTCTGCTGTGTTGTCCTGGTCCCACTGTTGGGATAGAGTCCCTGAGGCCCCAAACTTAAAATGGTCCCCACTAACCCACTAGCCACACCAACACAAGATTTTTGTGACACATCATTAGACACTCCCATAGACAGAGTGCTGGGGACAATAGCTACACCATTTCCTGGGAAGTGTAGCTGGGGACATCCACCTGTAAATTCTTCATGTCAGTACCCAATCATGAGGTCGCATGAACAGAAGTATAGCATTCCAAACAACGGAGAGGAGAGTTCTGCTCCACTTTAGCTGGTCAGATGTGTCTGGAGAGATCAGGATTCCAAAGGGAAACTGAAGGACTGGAGCCATTGAGAGGAGAGCAACTGGCAAAAGGGTAATCAACACACAGGCAAGGACAGGATGCTCGACTTTAATAGGAAGTGCGAATGAAAGCAGCAGAGTGGGAAAGCTCTGTGTTCACCTATCAGATCGTCAGAAATCAGAACCGCGGGTGCTCCCAGTAGTGGGACCTGGAGTTCAGTGCTGTCTCCTCTCAGCAGCCATTGGCTGAGAGGAGCAGGGAGGGCAATGCCAAGAGCAAGCTGGTAGTTTTTAAAGGAAGGAAATTATAGTGGGCTCTTCTTGCTCTGGCTCACGATGCCCACAGGCCCAGTGAAGGGCAGATAGCCAAGCCGTGGCTGCCCTTCCATCCTGTCTACTGTTGCCTCTTATCTGCTTGGAAGGCTCCCTGGGAGCTCAAGGGAGCAGTTGCTGAGGCGCCTGGCAGGGCAGGAGAGCTGGCCTTTCTCTGCTTGGAGATAACCGCCTCAGAAGCCATTCAAACAGCGCCATTCTGCTTGCATGTGCTTTGACGATTGCCCAATCTGGGTTTCCAGAAAGCCCTGGGAACAACTGGGAGCTCCTGTGGAGTGGGGTGGAGGACGCCAGCAGACATACTCAGGAGCTGGCCTTACCTGCTGTCACCCGAAGGAAAGGGGGTCCCTGGGTGCTGGGTGGAGACAGGGTGCTGGGGCCAGCGTGGGCCCAGAGCGACAGGAGGCGGGAGAGGGGAGCTCTTCACATGAGGGCTGGGGAAGCGCCACTGCGCATGCGCCAGAGGGGAAGGGGAAGGGGAAGTGGGAAGGGGCTGCTGTCTCACCGGGAGGAGGCCCTGGGTGGCTCTGTGGTGAGGAGGTAAGTCTGACCTTGGCCTCGCTGTCTCAGTGTGACCTGAACCTATTGGCTTAACCATGGGAGTTCCAGGGTGCTGGCTGTCAGGTGGTGGCACTCGTCCCAGAGTGTAAGGTTGAAGTGAGAACATAGGAAGCCGGGTTGAGATGCTTCGGTTATCACACACATGCAAAGGGCTGGGCCGCGCACCTCTTCCTCCTGAGCGCGTGGTTCTCGCTTCTCCAGCCTGAGGTCTGATGCTTTCCCTGGCTCCTTGTTACTCTGTCCCCAGCCTTACTGGCCTTCCTTTAGACTGTAGAATGAACTGTGCTCTTTCCTTCCTTGGTCCCCTGTTCCTGCACTGCCCTTCTATCCTCTGTATGTCTGGCCGGGAGAGCTCAGCCCAGAGCTCAGCCCAGGCACCCCTCCTCAGGGCAGCCCTTGGTGATCCTCCAAATGGGCCAACTCTTCTTTGTAGCCACATGAGCCAAAGCACGCCTTCCTCACTGTGCTCACCTCCACTGCCATTTACATGCATTTGTACGTCCCCTGTCTCATGGTGGCATGTCCTGAGGACAGTCAGGCAGCCCTACCACAAGGCTCCCCAGGAGGAACTGAACCCTTAGCTGGTTCCCACCCACAGCCATGTGACTGAGCCACCTTGAAGAGTATCCTCCAGCTGTGTCAAGCCCTCAGATGGCTGCAGCTGGAGGTATTGGGCCAGAGCCACCCAGCCAAGCCACTCCACCTCCTGACCCTGGGACTCAAGAGCCAATATGTGATGACTGCTGCTTCCAGCAGTAGGTTTGGGGTATTTGTTACACCAAATAGACAACTAGTGCAGATCCAGGTGCCTGGAAGTGGGGTGCTACCATGACAAATGTGGGGGTGGCTTTGGGACTGGACATGGGCAGAGCTGGAGGGAAAGGCGTTTGAAAACTTAAAGGGAGTGTTTTAGTCAGCTGTTTTTTGCTGCTGTGACTTAAAGACCTGAGCAGAATAATTATAGAGGAAGAAAGGTTTATTTAGGAGCCCACGGTTTCAGAGGTCTAAATCCATAGACAGCAGGCTCCCTTCCTCAGGGCTCGAGGTGAGGCAGAATATCATGGCAGAGGGAAACAGCTCACATGTTGATCAGGAAGCAGAGAAGGTCTCCCATTGTCAGAGACAAGTATATACCCCAAAGTGAAGCCACCAGTGAACCACTTCCTCCAGCCACACCTCACCTGCCTCCAGTTACCACCCAGTTAATCCCATCAGGGGGGTCAATACACTGATTAGGTTAAGGATGTAACCCAGCCATTTCTCCTCCAAACCTTCTTGCATTGTCTCACATGTGAGCTTTTGGAGGACACCACATCTAAACCATAGCAGGGAGTTCAAGAGACTCTGATGACCTCCTTGAACATCAGTAAGAACAGAAAAGAAAGTGAGGACATGTTATTGGAAAATGGAGGACAAAGATTCTTTAGTATGCTATCATAAAAAGTTCAGCAGTGCTGCCACTTGTAACCTGGAACCCAGAGCATGCTCCTAATGAACTGGTGACCAGGCGTGGAGTTTCAGGCAGTGTTGGAGTATCATTACTGGGAAATAGTGGGACTGGATTCTAACCAAGGAACTGTGGACATCAGCTCTGCTGGATTTCAGAATTGCTGTGGACCAGGACTCCTGCAGACCTCCTGTTTCCCCCCTTTTTGAGCAAGGAGAGGGAATCTAGAACAACTATCCCACCATCAATTCCTATCCCACCATGGAAGCTGGGTGTGTGGGGTGCAGGTGATTTGCCTCTTAAGCTGGGAGTCCTCAGTTTGAGAGAAACTATCCTCAAGGCACCGCAGGCCCATTGCTACCCCCAGATGTGATTTGGATGATGAGACCCTGAACCTGCAGCGTATATGGTTGGGAGCCATCTTGGGAGCTTTGGAAGCCTCAGGAGTGCGGTAATTGTAATGTTGAAGGGATGTAAGTTACTGGGGGCCAGAAGACCATGATTCCAAGTGTCTGAGATGTCCCCAGTGAGCCCGCCTCAGGGTACGCATTCCCTTTGTTGTTCCCTCCCACAGTGCATTCAACCTTTGTGACCAACAGACTCTGTGGAGATGGTGCAGCTGTGACTGCTGAGATTGCTCAACAGCTGTGTTCATGTTAGTCTCTTGGACGACTTGCCCAGGGAGACATCAGCCACCATGTCAGGAGGACACTCAAGCAGTGCACGAAGAGGAACTGAGGCCTCTAGCTGACAGCCAGAACCAACCTGCCAGCTGTGAGAAGGAGCCACTCTGGAGATGGACTTTCCATTCTCTACCCCCAAGGTCAAGCCCTCAGGGTCTGCCATCTTGGCCAACAACCTAGCTTCCACCCCATGAGAGACCCTGAGTCAGGACCTGTGGGGGATCAAAAGTGACTGCCATTGTTTTGGACCACTAGTTTGTTAGGCAACAGTAGAGGATAGCATAGGCCCCTTCTGCCAGTTTTCCCTTTTCCGGCCTCCTTTTTTTTGGTTCGGTTGGCTGGCCTCGGCCTCGTGTCCACACACCTGAGCAACCAGGATGAGGGTAAGGTGAGGCAGGCACCCAGGCTTCCTTCAGTTTTATGCCCTGGCTGCCTGAGCTTCTCACCCTCGTCTGGCCCTGTATCTGACTTCTGCACAATCCCATAAAAGGCCAGTCCTGGTGACCTTGCCCTTGACCTAGCTGCCTGACTCTACTGCTGGTCCCTGTGCACCTGCCTTACTTCCTGTGGAGAAACCTGCAGGTTTTATGGCTTATTAGGGCTGAGGGTAAACCCCTGCTGTCCATTAAGAAAGTAGGTGGAGAAACGGAGGGGTTGGCCACCACCAGTTGAGGACGCCCCACATAGACCTCACCGTGGCCCTTGCACCAGCCCTGAGGTGAGTGGAGAGGGCTTTGGCTGGGAAGAGTGGGTGGTTGGTAGCACCTTGACCTTAGAGGGGAAACAGGCCTCTTTGCAGCCCCAGAGTGGGCCAGGAAAGGATGGCCTTCCTCAGGGTAGGGAAGGGAAGCCCCCCTGGAGCCTGGTTGGGACATTCTCCTGAAGGAACAGAAGAAAAATCACACTAGTAACACATCAAGTGACTCCTGCACATGCTTCCTCTCATTCAATTCTCCTGACAGCCAAACCCACCTGTTTCCGGTCCTCAAAATAAGCTGAGTCCCTCACCCCCAATTCCTCAAATCTGCAAAGCTCTGACAACCAAAAGATTTTTGAGGACAGAACTGAGGTGAGGTTATATTTGGTCTTCATCATCCCATGGACTGTAAATATCAGAATGCTTCCCTACAGAAAGATCAACGTGTTTGTTTGCAGGGTGCCCCCCCAGAACCCACTGGGTGTTGGGTCATGCACCAGGTAACTTTTCTAAAATCTAACATTTCTGACTTTTGAAACATCTGGTCCGAAGATAAAGCACAGCGGCCCTGAATTATTTCCATTTTTACCTACGAGGAAAACTGAGTTTCCTTGAAGAACAAACCTAGCGCAGAACCAGGAAGCTTCCAGGGCAGGTGCAGATTTGAACTCAGGGCTCTCAGCCAGCACATCCCACTCTCTCAACCCAGGAATGAGCCCTGGGCTCCTTACATGCCTGTGAATTCACAAGTTTAGTGAGACAGTGTTTGCTCCCTGCACGGTGAGAGTCTGTCCCATCCTCTTGTCCTAAGGAGCGTGATGGCCCCGGGCCTGAGACTGCCATCCACTCCTCGACCCGCCAATCTCGAGGCCCATTAGATCTGGCACTCTGAGATCTTCATGGAGCCCGTTCAGTCATTTTTATAATGAACTTCAAAAAGCTTTCTGTGTTTGGGGTATTTATTGTTCCTGGACCCAGTGGCAAGCGGAGATTTATCCTCAGAAAGCCTGGGGTTTAATGAAGCTTTTTGTAGTACAAATATGTTCATGTGACTGAAATAGAATAAGCTCTTGGGCATTTCTTCTCATTGTCCCCTTTTGTGTCATCTCTCCCTCACTCCAAACCCTTGCTTATCCTCTGGCCCTGCCAGAACTTCCCTCTGATCCTATTCTCCTTCAGTAATTAACTCATCCAACAAGCACTCAGTGAGTCCCTGTGGCTGCAGACAATGTGGTAGAAGAGGTTTTATGGCTTATTAGAAGAGCACTGGTCGGACAGACAAAAGATCGAGGTCCTGGTGCTGTAAGCATTTAGACAGGGCCCTTCTCTGCTCTGGACCTCCGCTTAACCATGTATGAAGTAAGAAGATAATTGAGAGGGTGAAAAACACATCAATCACAAAGTGCAGAAACCTCAAAGATTCAATAATAAAGGAGTATGGGCTTTGGCACAGTCTGACCAAGGACTCTGGCTCTACAGTTCTCTTGATTTAGACTTTCTCTGGGAATCCTTTTAATCTTTAGGGTGGCTTGCCTCATAATTACAAAAAGGCTGCCAGTGACATCTCCAATCATATGCTTCACAGCCATGGAGAGAGAAGCAGAGCTACTTCAGGCATTAAGCATATTACCAAAGGGATTGTTTAGAGCCAGGCCTATTCTGATTCATAGGTTTGTTCTCCTGTGAATCAGAGCCTGGCCTGGATAAGTTATAAAATATTTTGACCATCACTCCTGGAAAGAGAGTATCATTAGCAATCATCAAGCAAATGTCTAGGATTTTAAGCTGACTGCCATATCCTAAGTTACCCATGCCAATCCCCATGGTCAGGGCGGGGGGCAGTTAGGATTGCCCCAGGTGGCTTAGAACAGTCGGGACCTCCCCTAAAACTGGGGTTCTGCTCAGGACCTCCCCTAAAACTGAGTTCTGCTCAGACTGTGTGGTTACTGCACCATGGATGGTAGCAACAATTTGGAGGTTGTGTCCAGGGGTGCAACTAAAATGTGTCTTTTTATCTTTCCCACTTCCCTCCCTCACTCTTCTTCACTTCTACATTTGCACTTCTGATGCACGACCTTGCAAAGTGTTTTCGCTTTCCACCACTGTAACAAAACACCTGAGGGAATCAACTCAAAAGGAGAAGAGATTTCCTTTGACTTATGGTTTTAGAGGTTTCAGTCCGTGTTTATGGCCCTGCTGTGTTGGGCTTGTGGCACATAGGACATCATGGCCCGAGCACTTGGTAGAGGAGGCCTGTTTACCTCACGGAGTCCAGGAAACACAAATATATAGAGATGAAGAGATAAAAAGATAGGGAGAAAGAGGGTGAGCACACACACCTTGGTGTCCCCATATCCTTTCAAGGACATGCCCCCAGCTACCATCTTCCTCCAAAGAGGTCCCATCTCCTCAAGGTTCTACCACCATCCAGCAGCACCATAGGCTGTGGCCAAGCCTTCAATACACGAGACTTTGGGGACATTTAAGATCCTTCAGCACAAAGGTTACCTCCCACCTTAATATTCTGTTGAGCACTCATTTAGTTTAGGTTAGCGGTATTGTCTGGGGGCTCCTACCACTGTCTAGATTTCCACCCTCCATTTCTAGTCTTTCATGAATGTTCTTCTGAATCTGTGGACAAGGAGAAGTAGAAACCCAGGTATGGGCACTGCCGGTTTGCAGCATCTCCTGGGCTGAGCAGCGAGGGGTTTGCTGAGGGTGAAGCCTCTGTGTCTGAGGCCGCCCCTCAGCGTGGCTCACAGTTGGTATGTAACACCCGACTTTGATTCAGATTTTTAAAATGTAAGACTAATAAATGGCTCATTGTAAAAACTTCCGATGGCTATGTGGAAAACGCTCTTTCCTGTCTAATACCTCTGCTTCCCCATTCCCAGTGTCAATCAGAGTCACATGTTCTCCCAGTTATGTCCTATTACACCTCCTGATATGTACAAACATTAATGTGTGAGTGTAATCAAAACCTCCTTCTGTCTGTAGGAATCTTAGTGGGAATGTGTTTGTTAAATGAACAAATGAATACCTAAAACAGCAGGAATCTCTGCCTGGGGACAGTTAGGGGGTGAAGCCTTATGCCATCCACAGCGGCCAGTCAGAACAACAGAACCCATTATTTTAACAAAGAGGTTTTAAAATAGAGAACCGGGGACTGGAAAGAAGCAGTGGCCATGGAGAACAGAGACAGTAACTTCACCCTAAGAGCAAGGGACAAAGAAAGAGATGGGGGTTTCTAGAAGTTGGAAGCTCACAGAAAAAACTGTGCAGAGCTGGAGCTACTGCTTGTAGGCTGGGGCGCCGGCAGACTGCTGCTGATGTCTCTCAGGGGCATGTGCCATGGTTGGTTCTGAGTGTGTGACACGAGAGATGAACTGGAATCCACCGTGGCTGCTGGTGAGAAGAAGGCTGGCGGGCGATGCTGCCAGGAATAGGAAGCAAACAGTTTGGATGCAGCCCCTCCTTCTCCTCCTTCCTCCTGTGGTCCTCCCAGCATTATGAGGAGGGAGCCAGGAGGTGAGTAGCTGGCAGTGTGGTTGGCAGGAACCCCCTGTAGTGCCACAGAGTGAAGGAGTGAAGGGCCCCCCCCGGAGCGCCACGGCAAGGGTTAATCGCCAGCTCAGCCTGCTTCCTCTCACTGAGAGCCTTTGAGCAAGAAAAAAGTGCCCCTCTGGGCAGAAGTGACCTGTGTCAGGGAGAATGTTTGGTGAACAGAGGAAGGCACTGTGCTACATACACCAGGATGTCCTGCTGGGCAGGGGAATAGAGACTGGAGTTTAGTCCCGAATGTCCTCTTGACCAGATGCATGCATACAGGCGACAGCCCACACGCTCATTCCCCACCCCATGTGTAGTGACCCTGCATCTGCCCAGCTACAGGCAGACAGTGCATTCTGTGATACATGGACGTAAATATTAGACACAAATCCAGGCGCTGTAGAGAAGTGCTTCTGCAGACAGATTCCTAGAAAACAGAGACGCCACTTCCAGCGAACCCAGGCCAGGAGGCCATTTCTAAGGAATCTGTGCTGAGCGGGTGAGAGTTTGGGGAGTTAGGCAATTCCAGGAGGGAGGCACTTTCCAAATTCTTCAGAATTAACTTTTGGATGGGATGAGATTCTAGACATGATCTGTCCTTGAGGATGATGATCATCGTGATAGTTAGGTTAGGCTCTCTGGAATCAGACTTAGACAGGGTGGGGGTGTGAGAAGCTGGGGTACTCATGGGAGACACACCTGTGGGGAGGGGAGGAGGCAGGTCCACCCGAGGGACGAGGCAACAGCCAAGGCTCAGGCTGGTGCTCTGGGAGCTCCGGAGCTAGGATGGCCCTCCAGAGCGTCTCCAGATGAGGTAGGAAGGTCGGCCATTCATTGGCCGTGGCCCCCTCAGGAGGAGTGCAACCTTGGAATGGGCAGTTTGCTGCAGCCTAAGGCAGTTTCTAGTGAGAGAAGCAGAGTCTTCCAAACAGTCAGCTGGAGGTTGGTGCGTTGGCTCTGAGGAGGAGACCTTGGCAGCAAACCACAGTGTCCACTTCAGGAATGATAATAATAAGAAGGGCCGCCATGGTTGCCACCCATTGATCACCTACACTGAGCTGGATGCTTTGTGTGGAACCCTGGTCCTCCCACGCCTTCCCATCACAGTGAATGGCACCCGCATCCAACCCCACGGCTCTGGACAAAATCGTTGGTGTCATTCTTGATCCTTTCCTTTTCTCTCCTTCCTAAACTAGGATCCATCAGTGGGATTTATTGGCTCTCCCACCAAAATATACCCTGAATCTGTCGACTTCACTCCACCCCTATCACTTTCGTCCAGCTCATCAGTCTTCCCTGGCCACCTGTCACGGCTCCCTGACTCTCTCCAACCTGGATGTCCTGCCATCCATTACTGTTCACACCACAGCGAGAACGGCCTCAAATATCATTCTTCTGAGCAAAGCTCTTGAATCACTTCTGCTGTACTTAACACAAAGTCCTAACTTCTTACCATGAATGATTTTGTTGGCTCCATCTCAATCTCCATATTTTTCCTGACCTGCCATACCAGCTCTCTCTTGATGCCTTGAACATGTCAGGCTCATCCTCGCCCCAGAACCCTCGCTGTAGCTCTTCCCTCTGCCTGGAATGACCTTCCACAGAGCCTGCTTGGCCCTCCTTGTCATTCAAGCCTCAGCTCTCCCATCACTTTCCTAGTCAGGCCTCCCCTGACTATTCCAGTTCAACTGTTATGGAGACCCTGGTCCAACCTGGTGTCAAAGACCAGGCTCCCTCTTTCAGCCTGGGGCCAAACCTCCCTCTGCGCATCACAGTCTGACAGCAGGCTGTGTCCTTTGGTCTATTTTCAGGATTCCAGGGTCGTCTGGAGATGGCTATGGCACATCCCAAGTGGACACTGCATAGACGGAATCAGGAGACATAACTCGGCTTTGCTCCTGCCAGTGAAACAGTCACCTAGTGGAAAAGAAAAGCCCTCCACCACTGAATCTATAATTGCACCGGAAACTGCCCAGCCCTTGGTGGAACAATGAGGGAAATCTGGTTACGGGTCTACCGGCCTGGGGCAAGCAGAAACAAAAATGAGGTTGGAAATATTTTTAACATGTGTGTTTTCTTGGGTCATTAAAAGAGAAAAACAAGTTCCAACACTGTTTGAAGGGAACCATCATCCAATTTACAAGTACTTATTGGGTTCTGGCTGTGGCCAGAAGGACTTGGGCAAGGCTTTGGAGCCACTGGGATGTGGTAAGGTCCCTTTTGTCAGGGACTGACATCTAAGAAGGGAGATAGTGCAGAGGAAAGGGGGCCTGGGGACCACGGCCATGGGGATCCCCTGCTGCCTCAGTTTCTGTGCTAGGGGGGCTTATTTATTTGAGCTCCTGACAAAGAGACAGCAGGCCTGGGATGCCTTGAACCAAGGGCCTGGGTGGGCGTTGAGGGCAGAATTCCCAGACAGGGAGCAGTGGGCTCCATGGAGCCCCGGAGGTGAGAACAGTCTTCCTGCAGATGACGGACTTGGAATGGATCCCAGCGAAACTGCGGGCTTTAAACGAGCAGCAGCGGAATAATGGGCCATCTCATCCATGTCTTCAGCAGCCTCTGTTTCTCTGTCCTTCTTGTCTCCCCACCATTTCCCTCCCCAGCTGGGGAGCACGCAGGAATGCCTTGCTGTGCCCCGTCAGCGCCCTACCTGGCTGATGTGTGATTATCTCCAGCAAAACACACACCAGAGCCGGTGTCCCTTGGCTGGGAAACACGTTGGCACCTTGGAACTGCTTCTTGGAAAAAGCACACAGTTGGCGTGTGACCTTCTCATTGATGCCTCTGGAGGAGGCGGGAGCCACTGCCCAGAGGGATGCCGGGGTGAAGTGGAAAAACATGGGCTGGCTTCAAAGTGGAGCATGGGGAGGCTGAGAACCGTTCTGCTTTGTGAACAAAGTCAGGCGAAAGGCACAGAGAGAACATGAGAGCGAGGCAGGGAGAGAGTCAGCACTTGCTAATTTGAAGTTAATTTTGAATTGCCTTGAAAATCACCACGCAGCATCCAGTTCTGCCTTTGATGGTCGAAAGAAAGCAGCTGCTTTTATTCCTCTTCAGGACTTGTTTTCCCCCCAGCAGTGAGGCAAATTAGGCTGAGCAGCAGTGGAAGTTGCAGTCAGTATAATTTCCCAGGAAAAGGTCAGGCTAATTGTTGGTGAGGAGCTAATGGAGATGGGGCACACTATGGGTGGTGCTGTTTCCCCCATCTGCTCCATCCTGCTCCCAGTAATGGCTCTTTGGCATCCTCAAAGAGCCAACTCGGCTGGCATTGTTACAAACTGAGGCCCCTTGCCCTAACCACCAGTGGTCCTGCACCGTGCTCAGCATGTAGGGGGACACGAGGCAGGGGAGATAGGTTCTCTTTGTCCACGAAGGGCAACAGGAGCAGCAAATGTTGACACATTCAGCAAGATTCCCTGTGACTCTGCTGTTTATTTGCAACTTGAGCAGCTCAGGTGATGGCCCAGGAGGAAAGCCTCGCTTATTTCGGCTGCCTTCTTTTGGTCAACAACTCAGTTGTAAAAATCAACATCATGGCTGCTTCCTTGAAGGTTAGTGCACACCTGTCTCATATGCACCTCGGCATCAAACATAAACCGCTATTTGGGAAGCTGGCCTGTGCTGTTCGCAGCCTTTGTAGAGCTGTTTTGAATGCGCAACATGCTGTCGGGATGTCCCCTGCCCTGGAGAAGGGACAGGGAGGGGCTTGATCCCGTGATGGGTGGAAGATGGAAAAAGTGTCATTTCAAAATCCCCAGTGGTTCCTCTCTTGACAGAGGTACAGAATTTCATCTGTAGGGCAGACTTGTCCTTATGCTGTTGAAATCACCCTTGGGTCCAGGAAGTAAGTTGGCGCCTACTGTTTTGGGAAAAACTGAGAAGTAACTGAATCAGATATTTTAGATGGGCGTGAGGGAGATTAGCTTGTGGCAGATGTTTATGCCACAGCTGGGTCATTCCTTTCTGTTTCCACCTCTTCCTTCCTTTCTTCCTGGCCTTTGACTACACTTCACTCAGAATTCAGATTCTACCCGATCCTTCCTAGGAATGATGTGGCTTTCTTTCCTCCTCCAATTGGAGGCCTGGCAGAGTCAACTTAGCTCAGACTCGGCCACCTGGATTCTGTTTATGGATTTATATGATCTCTGGCCTTCGCATAGTGACCACTGGATGAGTAGACCTGGACCTCTTCCAGGGGTCCACTTGAGCCAAAGTCGGGGATATAATGTGTCTCTGCATGTTTTATGATAGTGCTCTTGACTCTCTTCCATCTGGGCAGGAATATGAGCAGGAGATTATTGGAAAGAGGGTGACATTGGTATCTGCTGGGCTGATATGATGGGCAACAGCCCTGGCACCCCAGGCAGGGAAACCTCAGACCTGCACTTGTCCTTAGAGGTCTGGGATGGTGGAACATGAATGAGATTTTTCTTTCTGAACCATTCTTGGAGACTTCATCACAGAAGACACTTCCCTAGTATGGTTCTCCCAGACCTTCGAGTGCCTTCCATTAACTGGCTGCTGGGCCTATCCGTCCCCTGCAGCTGGCTCTGATGGTGATTTGGTCCCCATTTCCCATGTCCCTTGTCCTGCACTTCCCAAGCAAGGCACCTGTTAACAGGTGTCTGGACATCTGCCCCACCCCTATTCTTAGTGTTTTTACCCAATCACTCCTTGAGGTGGGTGAGTGTCACCTGACGAGGGGTGTGGACTGTCAGAACTGGTTGGATGGACACCCTGGGGGAGGCTCCAGAAACTAGGGCTGCACTCCATGCTATGCCAGCTGAAACTCTGACAGCTCGTCCGGCCACCCCTGAGAGGCTCCACTGAAGGCAGCCAACCTATGCCCCCCACTGATGTGGCTCCCACTTGGGGGTCCCCAATAATTCTAAATAATAACCTTCTTTTTAGGGTCACCATGTGTACCCCTGGGACTCCACTTCTTTTGTGGAAGCCAGACATTAACTTGTCTCCTGGCCTGATCCTTAGAAGTCGTCCCAAGAGACCTGCAAGTGCTTAAGCAAGCAGCCCTGGAAGGTGATCATAGTTACCCCGGGAGCTTCCCACAGGGGTAACTATTGCTGTGTACTCTGTGGACCGTTTTCTCTATAATGGGAGTCCTCCTACAAGAAAGGGGACTTTGAATTTGTCCCCATTTGGCCCTAGGTCCTAGAAGGCAGTCATGTCAGCCTGGACTCACTGGTCAGTACTGTCACAGTTGATGGAATGTCCTGAGTCTTTTTCCTTGCAGGCCAACGTGGAGCCTGTGCAATCCCTACTTCTCTGCTTGGATCCCTGCCTGGGTCCAAGTGGAAAAGTGAGTCCAGTGACAGAAGGAGGACTCTACTTTGCTCCTTTAAGATAGACCCTGAGTGCATGTGCCTTCCATTTAGATGACTGGGCCTATGACGCTCTGAGGGTGTGGCTGGAGTCCTGTTGGCCGTGGCCTTAATTAAATGCTGGAGGAGAATAACTGAACAGGTTTGGTCCTACCCTCTTTTGGTCAAATTAGAGTGGCTTATCAAGTAGAATTACTCAAAGGGAGACTTTGCCAGAAGCTAAGACTGTAAAAACGAGGAGTGGATATTGTTGGGAGACAATTCTGCATGGGTCTTTTGAATTTCTGCATGTTTTTGGAGCAGAGGCATGGACAGCCTTTGTTCCAGATGATCTTTTCAAGGATGTTGTATTACAAACAACCTTGGCAGATAGTGTCTCTCATCAGAGCCAAGGGCAGGCAGGCTTAGTGTTCATTTGAAAAGATTTACCTTCCCTACGTGGGGGGGGCGGGTCTCTCTCCTGTGATGCAACCCCCTGTGCAGGTGTCATCTGGCCCTGATTGTGTTGTCTTATGAAATTTGGGGCTTAGGGAACCAATACAAGAAAATGCTGCTACTCTGGCCCTGCTACTTCTATGAGCAATGAACTCCTTTGTCTCTGACCCGGGAGCCTTGTATCTTCTGCCAGATGAACCCCTCTGCTCTGACCCGGGAGCCTTATGTCTTGCGCCAGCTTCTATGCAACTGCAGCAAGCTCATTGTTAGTTTGAAATAGGATGATATCTCAAATACCTCACAGGTCCAGGCTGTGTCTGGCTTGGGCCACCCTGAATGTACTGTGTATGTGGACATTATCTATTGTGGGCATCCCAGGAAGATAAAAACAGAGAACCACAGCCTCAAGTTGTGCTAGCCTGAACTGGGTGGCATGGGGCAGTCACCATCTGGCTCTTCCCCTGCTCAGTGCATGCAGTCAACCCTACATAAAGCTCTGGAAGGTTGGCTGGAGAGGGCTGGGGGCAGCCTCTGGGGTCCAACCGTGTGAATTTCTACCACAATTCTCCACGTGTCATAGTCTCTGTTTTCCCATCTGTCAAGCAGGGATAACAGCAGCACTCGCTTCTGAGTGGTTTTGTGGGGACAAATAGTTGAGTTGGCACAAACAAGCCCTGATAAAAGTGGTGATTATCATTTCCTCAATGACCTCATCGCTCCTACCTTGACTTATTCTTTGTACGGCTGTCTCCCCCTCTTAACATCCTGTCTATAATCTAAGTTTATCTCTTCTCCTCTGAAATTGGCCAATTTACATGGCACCCCTCACCACGGTCTCTGAATGTGCCTGTAATCTAATTAGACTAATTTCAATTTCCTGGATTTAATTACTTTTAATTCAATTAATTTAGAATGCAGTACACAAGGTGATTAATTAGGAAACATTACTGAGAGATTCGGAAGGTGAATTGCAGTGTGTAAGTGTTTAAGTATCATTGTGGCCACAGCCACCCATTGTCACTTTGCACAGGAGACCACCAAGACCCTGGGAAGGGCAGAGTTGGAGAAGCCGGCAGGAAAGGGACTCAAACGGAAGCCTCCTGGCACCAAGCACAGAGCCCTTTCATCGTGTGGCTTCCAGCATCTCTCAGGGGAGGCAAAAAGGAGCAGTTGATTCCAGTTACAAGCAAGTCGGAACTGAGGCATGAACTGTGGGAGGTGAGGACAAAATTTGTCTTTCAACAGAGTGATATTTCACAGTGTGCTTTTTCTGTACATGGTATGTAAGCCAACCTTAGTGCTCCCTCTGAGCTACCATGCATGTCCCTTTCTTCCCCTTTCTTGGCTATTCAGGTTTACTGAGTACCTGGAATAATGAATAAAAATAATCTTAACAAAGATGTATGGAGTGCTGCATTCCAAACACTGTTCCACATGTGTTTATATTGATCTGCTCATTTAATTGTCATAGAAGTTAAGACACACGTCTCTTAGTGATGGGGACACTTTCCGAGAAATGTGATGTCAGCCCATTTTGTCATTGTGTGAACATCATGGGGTGTGCCTATGCAAACTAAGATGGCTACGACGTCACTTAGTGACAGAATCTAATGGAACCACCATTGTGTATGTGTTCTGTCATTGACCCAAACATCCTCATGCTGTGAATGAAGTACTCTTATGTCCTCTGTCTAGGGGAGGAAGCACAGAGCTAGCTAATTTGTGTCATCCTAAGGGACTAACCATAGTGAATTTCAGGCTATAGCAGGCAGGTATGGGGACAAATGAGGGCTGGTCACTGTTTTGGGTGGCCTTCAGATTTCGTTGTTTTGCCTGGCCACTTCCAGGAGGTGATAAGGATCACATCACTGGTAAAGCCCCTGCTGGTGACCAGGTACACTTTCAGATGTTTGGCATGTGTTGATTGAGACATGGCTTCTCCACCTCTGCTCCCTGGAAGGGAGCTGCCTGGGACTTCCCCACAGCTCAGCTGGGGTTCCAAACCTGAGGATTGGGTGAGCCACATCATCTTCTTCCCTCTGGGCCATTGATTTGAAAAGGCCATGAACCCTGCTCACGGTCAGGACTTCAGATTGTAGTTTTGATGGGCCCTGGGAGCCCGAGCTGGGCCAGAGCCTCTTCTTTGATCTCGACCCTCCACTCTGAGCTAGACCCTGCATCCTGAGCTATGCCCTATGTGAGACCCTTCTCTCTGAGCAGGCTTCTCTGTTCTTAGCTAGACACTCTGCCTTGAGTGAGACTCTGCACCCTGAGCAAGCCTCGTGCCCTGAAATTAAGCTCCAATTCCAACATTTACCAAATGGGTCTCTTTGGTATTTTTAGGGCTTTGACCCCTGTCTCTTAGAACGAAGGAAGGAAGCCAGCATGGTGTGGGGCTCCATCCTCAGATGCACAAGCAATGTCAGATAGGCCTGGACCCACCCATAAGGCATGTTCTGTGAGTGGGCGAGGACCAGTGACAGAATTCATAGGATAACTGTGAAAATGGATTTTCAGTTAGTCAGAGCTGGCTTAGCTGGAATGGGGCTTTTCAACAGCCTGGGAGCACACGGAAGCTAAATTGACAATGATTTTTCTCATTTGGTCTTTTCTTTCTGGATTGCTCTTTCTGGTCCTTTTTTTCTAGTCCTAACTCCTATTCAACCTTTGAGAATCAGCTCATGAATCATTTCCTCCCTTCTCTGAAACCCCTCACCTCCTCCCCAGAATGGACAAGTGACCTCTGTATTCCCATAATGCTCCAGATTATCTTTATTATTGCATTTGCCATATATTGCGATGACCTGCTTATGACTTTGTCCTGCCCATGTCACACTCTCCCCCTCAACCCCCATCATCCTCAAAATAGGCTTAATTTTTCCCAGTTGAAGGATGAGGATCCTGAGGCTCATAGTGGCTAAGGACCTTGCCAAGAGGAGGCAAAGGATGCTGGATTTGTTCCCCAAGCCATGCTATGTCTACCACAGGACACTGCAGGACTCCAGATTTTGCCTTTTGTTGAGGCATGGACTTGTGTGCGGTTTGTGTAATTGTATTAGTCAACTAACTGCATTACTACAAGATTAACTTATGAAGGCCATTTAACTTATGAAGAAAGAACGACACATTAATTCACAGTTTGGGAGATTTAAAGTCCACCATCAGGCAGTCCCCATTGTTTCGGCCCCTGGTGAGGGCAGTGGGCATTAGCACATCATGGTGGGCACCGGTATGTGTGGAAGAGCTCACAACACCAAATAGGAAGTGAGTGTGGGCGGTGGATACTCTGGTGTCACACAATCCCTTTTGAGTGCACTCCCTCAGTGACCTAAGGACCTCCCACAGTTTCCAGGGATTTCATCACCAGCCAGTAGCACTGCCTTGGGGACCAAGACTGTAGTCACAAAGGACCCTTGGGGCACACTTAGACCACATTCAAAGCAGCAGCAACTGAAGCAGCAGGGGCAGTGCCACCAAGGGGGTGGCACAAGGGCCATCTTTGGGGTGATGTCGGTTGCCCATGCCTGGCATTGCTGTGCACACAAACAGTCCCACCAGTCCTCCTCCTCCGCACACGCTTACGCCAAGCCTTGCCGAGGCCACGGAGAGGCCAGGAGGAAATGAGAACCAGAGCGAGCGAAGCCCCAGCCTCCCCCCCACCCCCTACGGATGCATGGGACTGGTTTGAGCCCGAGCCAAAGAGCCAAAGCCCCTCTTCACGCCCTTATTCCTCCATTTCACAAAGGTGAGGAGAGCCCAGCCCTGGGGTTTGAGGGCTGGATTCTATTAAGACTGCTGCTGGCCCCAAAAGATTAACTCACAGTCACCCTGCGAAAGCTGATCCAAGTGGAAAATCGAGTTAGAGAATTCCGCCTTCCCTTCCCTCACACCTCAGCAGATTAAGGGGAAGGTCTGAGGCTGAGTTATGGGGATTTATGGGAATGTGCAGTTGCTGCTTTTAAACGCTCACTCACTCTTTGGGATGTTGGCAACCTTGCTTCCTATAAATCGTTGCTGATATTTCTTAGCCTTTCTTTGCCAGCAACGCGGAGGCCGGCAACACCTTTTCCGTGCAGTAGCCTGTGAAAATATTGAAGTCGGGCCCAGAAAAACACCAGCACAGAAAGGGGAAACTTTGATGTTTGCTAGTTATTTTCAGACAAACCTTGCCAAATCTTAATTTTTCTAGTTTACAAGTAAGGGATTCTGACCATCTGTCTGCTGTCAACCGATGTTTGTTTGGATGAACATTTTATTTTTTTTCTCCCAATCTAGCACTCCTGTTCTTACAAGTAGTTTATTGGACTTCATAAATGTCAGCTTTTTGCATGCATTTTGTAAGCAGCTTATGATTTAGTATTTAATCAAAATTGAGCAGTCAGCGTCTGTAATCAATCTGAAGCGGGAGTAACAATGAGATTGAAGCTCAGAATGTACCAGGACCACAATTTATGTCTCCCCACTGTCTCTGGAAGGACTAGGTTTGCCCCTGAAGTCATGGGTGTGGCTGAGCAATGGGGGAGATAAGCCCTTCTTCAGCTCCTACTATGTGCTATTTTGTGATTATGTTAGTTATCAACTGCCAACCTAATACTATATATCAAACCATCCCAAACTCAGAGGCTTGAAATATTTACATTTTTTTTTTAGCTCATTGACCTATTGAGCCAGCTGTGGGGTCTTTCTGGCCTTGCCTGGGCTCTTGTCATATCTAGGGATAGGTGGGCTATTGGGTGACCTTGGCTGACTTCATCTGGGACAAGTGGGGCTGCTCGGCTCTAGTCCTCGCGTTCTCATCCTCCAGCTGGCTAGCGAAGGCCTGTTGTCATGGTGATGGCAGAGCGCAAAGACAAGCAGACTCGGTCATGCAAGCACTCTCTCAAGCTTCTCTCCCATCACTTTTGTTAACATCCTGCCAGCCAAAGCAAACCGCATGGCAGAACTCTGAATCAAAGAGCGGCGTCTTAGTCTGTGCAGGGTGCTGTAACAAAATACTGAAACTGGGTGGCTTACAAACAGCAAAAATTTCTCATCGTTCTGCAGGCTGCAAATCCAAGATCAAGGTACAGGCAGATTTGGTACCTGGTGAGGGCCTACTTCCTGGCTCATAGATGCCATTTTCTCACTTTATCCTCACATGGTTGAAGGGGCAAGGCAGTCAGTCCTCTGAGGCCTCTTCAATCAGGGGGAAAATCCTATTCGTGAGGGCTGCACCCTCAGGGCCAGTTACATCCCCACGTCCCCCCCGTCCCTGAACAACATCACATTGGCAATTAGATTTCAGCATATGAGTTTTAAGGAGGTGTAAACATCACACCGTATCAGGGGATAGACTACATTTCTTTATAGTGAGAGGAGTTCCAAAGTCACAGGCAAAGGCTGTAGGCACCGGGAGGGTGGAGGAAGCATCAGGGCCCTAACGCCATCCATCTGTCACCGTGATGCTCCAAACCCCACAAGGAAGGCGATTGTTATCCTTCCAATATCCAGATGGAGAAATTGAGGGATTGAGTCCTTTGCCAGTTTCTCAGCAGTCAGCCGTGGAGCTGGGATCCTTCCGTGGCCTGACTCTTAAGCTATTAACACATGACTTTTTGAACCTACTTTTGTGTGAGAATAGGTAAAACAAAACCTGCAGTAGGCACCTTTGTTTGTCATTCTTATGTTAAAGGACAAAGGGTCCAGAAGGAGGCTGACACAGATGCCTGGCTGATTGTTCCTGTCCCAGAGCAGGGGAGGGGGCTTTGGAAGACACTGTCATTGCCTCCTGCTACTGCCCTGTGGAGCTCCCCAAGGGGTCGTACCTGGAGACTGAAGATTGGTGGAGCATCAAATCTGATGTTTTCTAAAAACTTCAGATTCATGGATTCCGGTGACCCTGGCCCCTTAGCTCTGCTCTCCTGGTCAAGGGACCCTGGCACCTTAGCTCTGCTCTCCTTTATCCTTGATTCCCAGCTGGGGCGTGGAAAGTGCCCAGGAGCCAGGAAGGGCTAAGAGTGGCAGGCACTGATTGGCCAGACCAGCTGCAAGGAGCAGTGCTGAGATGGACGTAGGGACAGAAGAGGTGGCTTGCTCTCCTCTTCGATAGCAGCTTCCCTGATGCTAAGGCTCAGTTTCATGTTACAAAGACTAGGGGAAAACTGTCATGAGTGAAGCTCATGAGAGAAACTGGGGCATTGAACTTCCAGCTCCTCCCTGCCCCATACCTGTCTGCCTTCAGCCTCTGCCCCCCTTCCCACCACTGTGTCCTCCATTCTCTGGGCTCTTCCCAGTCCATCTCTCCATACTGGCCTCTCTGTGGGGATCAGCATATTAGTAAAAGAGCCAACTGACCTAGGTAGGCTCCACTCCGTGACTCTTCATTCCTGGGCAG